GCGGGGACCTGCCCCGCGTCGCCTCACGGCGGGACAGTAGCAGCCTGTGGAGAGTTCCGTCCCCAAGCACCGCCTGCTCCGTGCCCCCGTCATTTCTAGCACAGTACAAACCCCTACACGTGCATCGGGGGGCGGGGGGGGGTCTACCTGCTTGCAGTGGGGTGTGTGTCGCTGTTTGTACAGTGACACACACACACACCAATGCAAACAGGTAGACACACACACCTGTCACTATGCAAACAGCTACACACACACACCAATGCAATTTGCACAGTGACAGGGGTGTGTGTGTATGCATCTACCTGTTTGCACAGTGACAGGCCTGTGTGCGCATGCGTGTGTTTACCTGTTTGCAGCGGGGCGGGGGGTGTAGCTGTTTGCACAGTGATAGAGGAACAGACCTCCTCTGCCTCGGAGAGTTTATAGTCCAGACAGGTGGGGTCAAGTCACATCTGTGATGGGGGACATTGAAGAAAATTCATTTGAATTATTGTTTTTTTAAGTGGGTTAGTTGAACTATGCTAAAGCCCTATTCAGTTCTCTTATTCCAAATGTAAGTGCCCCTAATTTGATTCAGTTTGCTTCATTTTTCAAAGTGAATTAAGCTAAATTAAATGGCATTCTGATTAAAAGTAGGCACAGACACACACATGGCATCTCTCAACAAGGTAAAGTAGGGAAGTAGCTCTAAGTGGGGACCTACAGCAATGGCAGGTACTGGCCCCTGCCTGGAGGCATGCTCTTACCTTGCGGTATCTGAAGGTACCTGCTGGAGCTTCTCTCTCTCTCTTTCCGCTGTCTAAATGAAGGTAAATCAAATTAAGGCTACATAAATTCTGAAAAAAACACAAGTCTAACACATCAACTAAGGGTGCAAGTTTTAAGGGAATTCAGAATTAATGTTCCCGGGTGGTCCTGCACCGACAAGCCCTTGCAGGTCAGCATTAGAATCAGAAAATGAGGGTTGGCAGGAGGTTGCATCTAGTCCAAGCCCCTGCTCAAAGCAAGACCATCCCCAACTAGATCATCCCAGCCAAGGCTTCATCTACCTGGGTCTTAAAAACCTCCAAGGATGGAGATACCACAACCTCTGTGGGTAACCTGTTCTAGTGCTTTACCACCCTCCTGGTGAGAAAGCTCTTCCCAATGTCTAACCTCAACTTTCCTTACCTTCTTTACACTTTACACTTCCCTTTACCTTCTTTCAAGTGCTGCAACTTGAGCCCATTGCTCCTTGTTCTGTCATCTGCCACCACTGAGAACAGTCCAGCTCCATCCTCCTTGTAACCACCCTTCAGGTAGTTGAAGGCTGTTATTAAATCCCTTCTTGTCTTCTCTTTTTCAGACCAAATAAGCCCAGTTCTCTCAGCCTCTCTTCAGAAGTCATGTCCCCCAGCCCCCGAACTGTTTTTGTTGCCCTCCGCTGGACTCTCTGCAACTTATCCACATCCTTTCTGTAGTGGGGGGCCCAAAACTGGACACGGTACTCCAGATGTGGCCTCACCAGTGCAGAATAGAGGGGAGGTGATTCTCGAGTGATTCCCTCCATCTGATGGCAGCTCTCCAAGTAATGCAGCCCAGTATGCTGTTAGTCTTCTTGGCAAGTAGGGCACACTGTTGGCTCCTATTCAGCTTATTGGTGCACTGTGAACCTCAAGTTCTTTTCTGGAGCCCTGCTGCCCACCCAGTCAGCCCCCAGCTTATACTGGTGCATGGGATTGTTCCACCCTAAGTGCAGGATTTTGCACTTATTCTTATTGAACTTCTGGTCCAATCCTCCAATTTGTCAAGGTCTCTTCAAATCCTAGCCTACCCTCCAGCATAATCTAATACCCCTCCCCTTCCTCCAGCTCAGTGTTATCTGCAGACTTGCTGAGAGTGCACTCCATCCCATCTTCCAGATCGTTGATGATCTGTAGCGGAGCTGGAAGTTGCAATCAGCTGTCTTTGATGCAAGGCCAGGGGTCTTCCTAGCTCCTTTAAAAACATGCTCAGATTTTAGAAAGTTATTTTCAAAAAAAGTGTTAACTGGAGGGGAAAAAAAAAAAAGCCAAAAACATTCCAGTAAGTTTGTGTTACCACCAGAAAAATTTAGCTGCTCATGCTGGAGTACAGCACAGTCACCAGAAAGCAGAGGAGGCAAAAGCATTTAGTGGTTTAAATCAAACAGTGGTTCCCAAGCTTGGATGCAACAGGTTTTACACTTAGAAACAAAAACAAGATGGCTAAAAACTGAGCATCTGTAGCTTGCTTTTGCAGTCGTTAGCCAGTAAGATTCACACAAATGTTATTATTAGCAAAAGAGAAAACCTAAGGAAAACAAAGTGCTTTGCAACAGCAAGGAAACATCTCAGCAATTTTCCTAACGCTGATTTTATAACCAGTGTCCTGAAAACTGCTCCAAGTCAAAGCTGGCTTCAGGAGGGAAAGTGATGTAACCACTCATTACCAGCAGTGATGTAATCGTGGCTTGGAGGGACAACCCATCCCAACAGTGTATAAATAATGTTCTATATAAGCACCAAGAAGATACAAATAGCTCTAGGAAAGCCTACAACTAGGACACATGGGATGAAGTTAGGGAAGAAAAACACACTGAGGCTGAACATCAGGGAACATAGCATCCGGGAGCTCTGTTTAGGACAGGGGAAAGTCTCCAGCCGCTTGGCACACTTCGCTGGGTGAACAAGCAATTACAGCATGGACATTGGGGGACATTTCTGCACCAACAGGTGCAGGGACGGAGCAGTTTTGAGCACAGACCTCAGCTCTTGCCAGTTCTGGGAGCTGCAGTTTTTTGATTTGGAGGGAAATAAATCCACCCCCTGAATCCCATGTGGTGCTCCCCCTGCTGGCCTCTGCCCCTTTGTCCCGCTAACTAGTTCGGTAACCGCTGATGTGGGACAAGAAATAAGAGCTGGAGATTACTTAGTCTAGTGTGGGGGGGGGGCAACCTTTTTGGCAGGCATGTCACAAATTAGCCCTGTACCCTCCCTGAGAACAACT